TATACTAAAAACCATTTAATTGTATGCTTTAAATTAGTGAATTGTATGGGATGCAATTCTACCTCAATAAAGCTGCTATTAAAAATAAGTGCTCAATAAATGATAGCCATTATTGTTTAAAAAATTACTCTGAAGAAAAAAGATGAGTAAAGGAACAGAAGAAATCTTTTTACTTGTAGAAAGACTTACGAACATACATTATCCACTATAAAAATTGGAAGTAGGAATAAGATGGCCTAGACAGATAACTATTAAAGGATTCTGAAAGCTGGAAAGAAAGCAGACCAGACTGGCCAAAGACCTCAGCACTTGAAGAATGGCAATACAGTGAGATTCTTGAGACTACATATATATTAGGCTGGGCAGTGCAGGAGTCTGCAGCCTGAAATAACCAAAAGGCATAGAAAAAAGAAAAATCTGTTTCTCTCACCAGAGGACTGGGAAATGGAAAGCACAACAGAGACCAAGTGGGGAGCTCTAATCTCAGCTCTTCAACTGAGATACCAGTTGGCCAATCTGTCTTCAGCAGCAACTTCAAAGTCCTGGTGAGCCAACCCAACCTCTGCTTCACAACCAGAGCACTAATGGGCCAACATATTTGCAGCATCAACAAAGAAGCCCAGGGAGTTTCCTGACTCCACAGTGCTCTACTACTCAGGTACCCTTGGGCAGTCCAATTCACCTGCAGAGGTTTCAAAGCAATGACAGTCCTACTCAACCCCTGCTCCACACGAGGGGCAACAGCAATTAGGCTGATCCTCCCATGTCAGCTGAGCCGGGTAGCTTCTGGCCCTCCACCCAGTTGCATAAGGAGACTTAGGACAAGAAGAAATGGGGCATTACCTGTAGAGGAACACAAATTTGAACTGACAGGGAATTTCTCATTTGAAACTATAGAAGCCAGAGGAAGTGGCACAATATTTCTTACTGCTGAAATAAAATAATTGTTAACTAGCAATCCTATATCCAGCGTAACTACCCTTCAGGAATGAAGGTGAAATAAAGATATTCTCAGACAAAGAAAAACTAAGAAATTTGTTGCTAGCACACCTAGCCATAGATAATGTCTAAAGGAAGGTCTCCAAACAGAAAGAAAATAACAGAAGAAGACTGGGACATTCAGATAGGAAAGAACATGAAATGGTAAAAACTGAGGTCAGCACAATAGACTATCCATCCCATGAACTTCTTGAATCAAAGTTTATGGTTGAAGCAAAAATTTTCACAAAATTTGATGTGCTGCTCAATGAAGACAGAGGAAATATTTTTTAAAATTATGTTTAAGAAATGAAAAAGGTAAGGGAAACTAATGGAAGAAGTAAGGTTTCTATAATTCACTTAAAGTGGCAAAATGATACCACTACACTTTTGATAACTTATGAATGTATACAGTAATTCCTAGAGCAACCAACTAACGAAAATTTAAAAAGTGATATATGAAAAAACATTATAAATGAACATTATGAATAAATTAAAGTGGAATTCTAAAAAATGTTCAAATAACCTGCAGGATTTTCTTCAATGTGTGAATGGTTAAACAAACTAAGGTACCACCATACCATGGTGTACAACTCAGCAATAAAAAGAAACAAACTATGTGATATGGTTTTGATCTATGTCCCCACCCAAATTTCATGTCTAGCTGTAATCTCCAGTGTTGAAGGTAGGGACTGGTGGGATGTGGTTGGATCATGGAAGAGGAGTTCTCAAGAATGGTAGCACCATTCCCCCTTGGTACTGCATAGTGAGTTCTCACAAGATCTGGTTGTTTAAAAGTGTGTAGGCCCTCCCCCTCACTCTCCTGCTCCTGCCATATAAGACGCCTTTTCCTGCTTTGCCTTGCTCCATAAGTAAAACCTCCCTGAGGCCTCCCCAAAAGCCTGGAAGCATGGAAGTTGCTATGCTTCCTGTACAGTCTGCAGAACCATGAGCCAATTAAACCTCTTTTCTTTATAAATCACCCAGTCTCAGGTATTTCTTTATAGCAGTTGAGAATGGACTAATACACTGTTGATACATGCAACAACTTGGATGAATCTCATGGAAATTATGTTGAGTGAAAAAAGCCAATCCCAAAAGGTTAGGTACAGTTCAATTTTTATAACACCCCTAAAATGACAGATTTATAAAATAAAGAACATATTAGTAGTTGCAAGGGGTTAAGAATTGGAGTGAAGGAAGTGGGTATGATTATAAAGGAGTAACACAAGGAAGCCTTATGGTGATATGGGATGGTACAATTAAGTATCTTGACTGTGACGGTGGTTACACAAAATTACACAAAATTTTAATAAAATGCAATTAATGTAAAATATAGTCAAAAATAAAGAAACAGAAAACATTTGAGAAAAACTAAGAGACTCACAAGATGATAAGAGTGTTTTGCATGCCTGAGGCCTTGGGCCACGGTGTACCAGTTTGTCCAGAGAGTTTGCACTAACAATGTGATTTACAGTGAACATTTGGGTTTTCCCTGTGGGGCTGGTGCTTAAACAATTGAGATGCTGCATGCCTACATAACTGACCTTTAGTAAAAACTATACACAACAAAGCTTGAGCAAGCTTCCCTGGTTGGCAACACTATGCATGTGTTGACACATCCTCACTAGAGTAATTAAGTGCATCTCACTTGACTCCACTGGAAGAAGACACTTGGAAGCCTGTGCCGAAGTTCCTCAGGACTTGCCCCATGTGCCTTTTCCCTTTGCCGATTTTATTCTGTATCCTTTCACAGTAATCACCCCTAAGTGTAAGTGTAACAGCTTCTAAGTTCTGTGAGTCCTCTAGTGAATTACAGTGGCTGAGGGTAGTCATGGGATCCCTGACATACCTTCTTTCGAGGGTAAGCACTTCTACCATTTTCAGAAACTGCTTGGACTTTACTACTCCCTATTTACTTTCCTAACTTGTGGCAGGGTTTAAAGCACCTAGTGAATTCCCACAGATCAGTTAGTTACAAAATCTCACCTGTTCAATCATGACTAAGTGGCTACTGACACCAACATTTCAAACAGAGGGCTGCACATCTGGAGATATGTCTGACCCCTCTATTTCATCAGTCTACTTTGCCCAGCCCCGGGAACAGACATGGGCATGCCAAGTCTTGCCTACTGCTTAAAATGGCTGAGAAAGTGGCAAGGCAGCTTCAATATTTTATATATCACTACAACCACGTGGCGACATATCCACTCCCAGTAGTTTTCTGCTGCAAATATCCCCATCACCTCCCTCTCAGAAACTGTATACAACACTGCACAGAGGTATTCTGCCATGTGGCTACAGGAGAAGAACATTTCTCTTAGCTAGGATGTGGCTCCACTTGGAAGGCATGATACAGATAATTCAGTAGCAGCAGTACAAAGTAATTTTGACATAAAACCTACCTGCAGAGTGAATTCTCTTTAAAATTCACTCTCAGTCACTCATATCCTGATAAGCTTTCTTGAGCAGGAGAGAAAGAGTTGCAAGCAGTATGTTGTACACCAAAATTTACACATAACCCACAGCCATCATTATATGTGTCAAGCATGAAACAACTGTTTAAATTGATGATTTTGTCAGCCATATGCCTATGAAATGCTTTGATGTTCTCTGGCTCCTGTCCGCACACCTCAAATCTGTGACCTATTAATTTATTTTCTAAGAAAAGGCTTTGAGGTTTTGTCACTCTAGAGAAGTGGGTCACACATGTGAAATACTATTTAAGTGATACATATTAGTCTTAAAATGGCTCAGTCCCAGCACTGGTAATATGAAGTTGGATAAATTCCCTATTTTGCCATGTCTTCAAGTAAAATGGTGCATTTCAAATCGGTACAGACTGTACACTTGCACTGCACCTACAAACACTTGTTTTGTTGACATGACACAGTCTGAATCCATAGCTACTAAATGCAAAAATTTACAAACGATTCCTTCCCCAACACGTCACCAAGTGCTGAGAACAACTCTGCCAATTGTACCAACATGAGCGGTAACTAAGATAAAGGCCAAATCCCCTCTTACATAAGGAGCTAACAGGCCAGTGAGAAACTTCCATCACATATTAACACAGGAATTTTATGTTCTTGAGAAAACCATAGCATTTATTTACAAGTCTCTCAAATAGCTTCTCATCCATAAATAACTCAGAGTCATTACATGTTTTGCTGAAGACCAGCAAAAGAGTCAGAGAAACAGTGCAATACAATCTAATGGGGCCGTTGGCTCTCCCTTTCTCTTATTAAAACAAGCACTTATTGCTCTGTGTGTGTGTGTGTGTGTAAAATATGTATTTTTTTTAATATAAGGAACATTTCCATTTGTAAGATTATCTTCTGTAAGTGTTGATACCAATCTTATTAAATGCATGTTCACTGCTTAGAATCCAAGGCACACATGCAGGTTCATTCCCTTTCTCCTCAGGCAGTTTCCGCAATCCACAACATTCTCATTTTAACAGTCCTCATTACTGGTATCATTTAATACTTGAGGGTTTGCTCAAGTCAATATCAATCTTGCTGATCCTACAAACACTTGTTGACACAACACGGTCTGAATCCATAGCTACTAAATGTAAAAATTGTAAAAGTATTCCTTCCCCAACACGTCACCAAGTCGCTGTTGCTGTAACAACTCTGTCAGTCACTCAGCCTTGTCATGGAGCCACAGTGCAGGGGAGACATCAAGCACAGGACTTTCGGGGGATCCCACTCCCTTCGATCACTGGTCCTCCTGCCACCCAGATGCACTGCTTCTTCTCAAAGACACTTGACACCTTAAACTCAATATTCTGAAGATGGAAATGTTTACCTGGAAGGCACTTTGTTGGACCCATCTGAAACGCACTTCCTCATTAACAAATAGCCCTTTACCACAAGAAAATCTTAACTAACCAGAAGAGGGAGAAACCTTTCCTTCAGAAGGAACAACAAAAACCTATTCAGAACAAAAATATACTCTTCAATTAAGCTTCAATGTCTCTGGGCGAGTCTAAATTAAGAAATACAATATCTCTTTACCTGATTGGAAAACCTCATGCTCACGTTACGTTGATCTTTTAGTGGGACATAGCGCTGCACAGGATCAATGTCTTTAGGACTGATTAGTTCATCAGCTGAAAAAAAGAAGGGGAATGACATTACTGAAAATGCATTTGCATAACACTATAAACCAACTAGACTTTTAGAAAATACTCCAACAAGAGCAGAATATACATTTTTCTCAGTGTACATGAAACATCCTCCGCCAGGATATACCACATACTAGGCCATAAAATAAGCCTCAATATATAGAAAAGGACTGAAATCATAAAAAGTATATTGTCTGACCACAAGGGAATGAAATTAGGAATCAATAACAGAAAGAAATCTTATAAATTCACACATACGTGGAAATGAAAACATACTACTAAATAACTAATGGGTCAAATAATAAATCAAAAGGGAAATGAGAAAATATATTCTAATATACTTTCTGAGGAGATTAATGAAAATAAAGACAAACACCAAAATCAATGGGATGTGGGTAAAACAATGCTCAGAGAAAAAATTATAGCTATAAAGTCCTATATTAAACAGAAGAAAAATCTCAAATCAATAACCTATTTTTCCACCTTAAGACAGTGGATGAGACGGCTGGGAGCGGTGGCTCATGCCTGTAATCCCAGCACTTTGGGGGGCCGAGGTGGGCAGATCACAAGGTCAGGAGTTCGAGACCAGCCTGGCCAATATGGTGAAACCCCATCTCTACTAAAAATACAAAAAAAAAAAAAAATTAGCTGGGCGTGGTGGTGTGTACCTGTAATCCCAGCTACTCAGGAGGCTGAGGCAGGAGAATCACTTGAACCCAGGAGGCGAAAGTTGCAGTGAGCCAAGATTGTGTCACTGTACTACAGCCTGGGCGATTGAGAGAGACTCTGTCTCAAAAAAAAAAAAAGACAGTGGATGAAAAAGAGCAAACTAAATCAAAAGCAACAGAAGGAAGGAAATAATGAAGATTAGAGTGGAAATTAATGAAACAAAGTATAGAAAAACAATACAGAATCAAGGAAATCAAAAGCTCAATAAAACTTGCAAACCTTTAGCTAGATTGATCAAGAAGAGAGAAGACTCAAATTACTAAATCAAGAATGCAAGAAAGAACAGAGATATAGATCAATGGAACAGAACAGAGTCCTCAGAAATAATACCACACATCTACAGCCATCTGATCTTTGACAAACCTGACAAAAACGAGAAATGGGGAAAGGATTTCCTATTTAATAAATGGTGCTAGGAAAATTGGCTAGCCATAAGTAAAAAGCTGAAACTGGACCCCTTCCTTACTCCTTATACGAAAATTAATTCAAGATGGATTAGAGACTTAAATATTACACCTAAAACCATAAAAACCCTAGAAGAAAACCTAGGGAATACCATTCAGGACATAGGCATGGGCGAGGACTTCATGTCTAAAACACCAAAAGCAACGGCAACAAAAGCCAAAATTGACAAATGGGATCTAATTAAACTAAAGAGCTTCTACACAGCAAAAGAAACTACCATCAGAGTGAACAGGCAACCTACAGAATGGGAGAAAATGTTTGCAATCTACTCATCTGACAAAGGGCTAATATCCAGAACCTATAAAGAACTCAAACAAATTTACAAGAAAAAAACAACCCATCAAAAAGTAGGCAAAGGATATGAATAGACACTTCTCAAAAGAAGATATTCATACAGCCAACAGACAGATGAAAAAATGCTCATCATCACTCGCCATCAGAGAAATGCAAATCAAAACCACAATGAGATACCATCTCACACCAGTTAGAATGGCAATCATTAAAAAAATCAGGAAACAACAGGTGCTGGAGAGGATGTGGAGCAATACGAATACTTTTACACTGCTGGTGGGACTGTAAACTAGTTCAACCATTGTGGAAAACAGTGTGGCAATTCCTCAAGGATCTAGAACTAGAAATACCATTTGACCCAGCCATCCCATTACTGGGGATACACCCAAAGGATTATAGGTCATGCTGCTATAAAGACACATGCACATGTATGTTTATTGCGGCACTATTCACAATAGCAAAGACTTGGAATCAACCCAAATGTCCATCAGTGACAGACTGAATTAAGAAAATGTGGCACATATACACCATGGAATACTATGCAGCCATAAAAAACGATGAGTTTGTGTCCTTTGTAGGGACATGGATGCAGCTGGTAACCATCATTCTCAGCAAATATCGCAAGAACAGAAAACCAAATACCACAAGTTCTCACTCATAGGTGGGAACTGAACAATGAGATCACTTGGACACAGGAAGGGGAGCATCACACACCGGGTCCTATTGTGGGGAGGGGGTAGGGGGAGGGATGGCATTGGGAGTTATACCTGATGTAAATGATGAGTTAATGGGTGCAGCATACCAACACGGCATAGATATATATATGTAACAAACCTGCACATTGTGCAGATGTACCCTAGAACTTAAAGTATAATAAAAAAAAAAAAAAGAAAAAAGAATGCAAGAAAGAAACATTACTAGAGAACTAAAGGATTATAAGAGAATAATATTATATCAAATATATGCCATCAAATTAGATAACCTAGATGAAATGGATGAATTATTTCCAGAAAGACACAAACTACCAAAACTGACTCAAGAAGGAATAGAAAATCTAAACAGATTTGTAAAAAGTACATAAAGTGATTGAAACTTCACACACACACACACACACACACACACCCCAACACAGCTCAAGACTAGATGGCATCACTGGTGCATTCTACCAAGCAGTTAAAGAAAAATTAAAACCAACCTTTCACAAACTGTGCTCCCCCTCCCAAAAAAGAGGGAACACCTCCCAACTCATTCTAAAAGGTCAATATTATTCTAATACCAAAATCATAGTATCACAAGAAAATTACAAAGCAAAATCTGTTTTACAGACACAAAAATCCTCAGCAAAATACTAGCAAACCAAATCCAGTAACATAAAGAAGGGATGACACATCATAACCAAGTAGAATCTATCCCACAAATGCAAGGATGGCTTAACATCACAAAGTCAATTACTAATAGACCCTACCAACAAAATAAAGAAGAAAACACTATATGATCACTTCCACAGACTGAGAAAATGCATTTGACAAAATTCAACATCCTTGAATAAAAACATTCAACAAAGTAGGAACAGAATAAAATGTATTCAACCAAATAAAGGGCATCTATGAAAAAGCTACAGCTAATATCACACTCAATGGTAAAAGACTAAATGCTTTTCCCCCAAAGTTCAGGAATAAGACAAGGATGTTCACTCTCACCACTTCTATTCAACATTGAACTGGAGGTTCCAGCCAGGGAAATTGGGAAAGAAAAAGTAATAAAAAGTATCAGATTGGAAAGGAAAAAAGCTATGGTAATTAATAGTGTGGTATTAGCATAAGAATAGACACAGAAATAGAATACAGAGTCCAAAAATAAACCCTTGCATATATAGTCAACTGATTTTTGACAAGGGTGTCAAAACAATTCAGCAGGGAGAGAAAGGATTTTTCTTTGTTTTGTTTTGAGACAGAGTCTTGCTCTGTTATCCAGGTGGAGTGCAGTGGCACAATCTCAACTTACTGCAACTTTCGCCTCCCAGGTTCTTCTGGTGCCTCAGTCTCCTGAGTAGCTGGGATTACAGGCATTTACCACCATGCCTGGCTAATTTTTGTGTTTTTTGTAGAGACAGGGTTTTGCCATGTTGGCCAGGCTGGTCTTAAACTCTTGGCCTCAAGCCTCAGCCTCCCAAAGTGTTGGGATTACATGCGTGAGTCACTATGCCCAGCCAAAAAATGTTTTTTTTTAATTGACAAATAGTGCAGAGACAATTGGATATTCAAATGCAAAAGAATGAAGCTGGACCTTTTCCTCACACCATATATAAATATCAACTCAAAATAGATCCAAGAGTTAAATGTAAGAGTTAAAACAATAAAACTGTTAGAAGAAATTATAGGAGTAAGTCTTTGTGACTGATTTAGACAAAACTATGACATCATAACAAAAGTGATAAAAGAAGAGATAAACTGGAGTTCACCAAAATTATAACTTTTATGTGCCGCAAAAGATCCATCAAGAAAGTGAAATAACAGCCCGAAGAACGGTGAGAAAACATTCACAAATCAGGTATCTTGTAAGGGATTTAAACCCAGAAGATATAAAAAACTCATAACAACACAATAATAAAAATAAAAAAAACCCAATTAAAAAATAGCCACAGTGTCTACATAGGCATTTCTCCAAAGGAGATATACAAATTACCAATAAGCACATGAAAAAATGCTCAACATTAGTCATTTGGGAAATGCTAACCGAAACCACAATGAGGTATCACTTTATATCTATTAGGAAGGCTACAATTGAAAAAGGAAAATAGGTAAGAACAAGTGTTGGCAAAGATGTAGAGAAACAGAAACCCTCATATAGTGTTGATGGGAAAGCAAAATGATACAGCAGCTTTGGAAAACAGTCTGGAAGTTGCTCAAAATGTTAAATGTAAGAGTTAGCATAGACCCAGTAATTACATGCCTAGGTATACACCCAAGAGAAATGAAAAATATGTCAAACAATAATTTTATATAAAGTCTATAGCAGCATTATTCATAACAGCTAAGAAGTGGAAACAACCCAAATGTTCATTTGCTGATGATATGGGTAAATAAAATGTAATGTATACATACAATGGAATATTGTTCTGCCATAAAAAGAATGAATTGCTGAAACATGCTACAACATGGATAAACCTTGAAAATACCATGTTAAGTGAAAGAAGCCAGACTCAAAAGTCCACATTATCAGTTTCGAGTTATATGAAATGTCCCAAATAGGCAAATCTATAGAATTAGACAGTAGGCTAGCCATTGCCTAGTGCTGGGTGAAAGGGTGTAGTGATGAGAGGGAAATGAGGAGTGACTGCTACTGGGCATGAGGTTTTTTGGCAGGAAGATGATGAAAACATTGTAAAACTGATTGCAGTGATGGTTGCACAACTCTATAAACATGTCAAAAATCACTGAATTGTAAACTTTAAATAGGTAAAATATATGGTCTGTAAATTATATCTCAATAAAGCTATT